AAAAAAAAAAAAAAAGAAAATGATGAAAGTAGTCGGTGGTGCATGCTAAGTAGGAAATTGGATTGTAGAAATTCATAGACTGGAGAAGTCATTGAAGGCTGTCATGGTCAAGGAAAGCTTTCTAGGAGAAGTTAGGAGTTTAAAGATGAGTAGAATCAAATAGGGAAGCTGGAAGAGAGTAAGTGTATCAGGTAATGGAATGCAAAGCCTTATAAAACAGATGTCCTGGAATGGTGTATTTTTTTAATAAGAAGATAATGTTAGAAATATATGTTGAGATCAAGAGAGTAGGACTTGAATGCCAGCCTGAGCAGTTCAGGCCATATTCTTTGAGCTTTTGGAGGTTCTTTAACATTGGGATGTTGTTTAATGAAGTGGTGTCCAAAAAAAAAACACAGAAGTTCTTTAACAAAGAAATTACATTAAGGAGGCAATATTTTAGGCAGATTCATTTCCCTAGTGCCAGTAATTCAGATGGGCTTGAGGGGAAGAGTCCAGCAGTCTCATCTCCCAACTCCCATGTCCCTTCCAAAAAAAAAAAAAACCTAGTAGAAGTACTTTTACTTTTGTGATGGGAATACTGATTACCACTTAAAATAGGTTTTACTTTATATATTTCAATCTTTCCTATTTTCCTTAAACACAGATTGTTTTCAAATTATAGTTATTTTCTACTTTGTCATTCTTCACTTACCATGTCTCCAGATACCTAAGGCCAGATAAAAGTAATTTCACTAGATTTTTTTTTTTTTTTTTGAGACAGAGTCTCACTGTGTTGCCCGAGCTAGAGTGCCGTGGCGTCATCCTCGCTCACAGCAACCTCAAACTCCTGGGCTCAAGCAATCCTTCTGCCTCAGCCTCCCGAATAGCTGGGACTACAGGCATGCGCCACCATGCCCGGCTAATTTTTTCTATATATTTTTAGTTGTCCAATTAATTTCTTTGTATTTTTGGTAGAGACGGGGTCTCACTCTTGCTCAGGCTTGTTTCGAACTCCTGAGCTCAAACAATCCGCCTGCATCGGCCTCCCAGAATGCTAGGATTACAGGCATGAGCCACCGCATAATTTCACTAGATTTTGTTAACACAGAGTAGGAAGAATATTTAGGGAAAGATTACATAACACAAGTACTTATCAAGCCTCATAGATTCATTTTCAGTTAATACACTTTGTTTCAACTTGGTATTCCTGGATCATGTAAGCTCTAACCTGGCACTGCTTTCATGGGGGTACCTTGTAAGTACTGTTGAACTTTAAGTGGTAAATGCTGAGTACTCGCCCTTGTTACTTTCAGTCAGCTGTGTCATCATTTGAGTAATATCTGTAGGGCTGAGGAAGAGACAGTGCTGTTTAAGAGGCTAATACTGGAAGTGCCAGCTTGGGAGGCCAAATGCCCCACCACTGCCACCACCACCAGTAACAACCAGGGTCCAAGAGGAGTCCTACTTGATACCAGCTTTCTTCATTTTGTGACCACATGTGATGATATTATCCCTTGAAATAATGAGTCTGTCATGAGTTCTGAGGAAAATTCCTAGAGGTGAAGTGAGGTTGTCTAAGCCCCACAAAAATGGCAACAGAATTTTCTTTTATCTCCTCATTCTGACTTGTTTTTAAGCCAGTTTTTTAGTGTCTCTATGTGATGTGATACGCTTTTGTATCTTATTTATTATGCTTGTTTGATCATATATCAGCACTGAGTGTTGAAGACCTACTTCTTTAGATTCAGGGATCAAGAGAGAGGAAAAAAGAAAGAATATGTGTGTGTGCTGCAGTGAGGATATTTCTTATTCTGAATGTTTAGACTCAGCAGAGAAAAGGGTTTGTTGCAATTATTTATTACAGCTAGGGCGCATCATTCTGTACATAAAAAAAAAAATCAAAGGAAGGAATGTTGGTTCACAGCAACAAAGACTTCAGTGACTCACTGTAGTGGTTTTGTAATTTACCCTGTCCCTTAGGTTTGCCCTCCCTGCCTGATCATCCTTTCCCCCCGAGAAAGGGAATCATTTAGGACGGTAGATTCTGTCCCTTCTGGGCATTGTATTGACTTTTACACAAAATACTAATTTATACATAAATGTAGCACTCAATCAAAGTTTGGCCACAGAATTTTTTTTTTGTACAACCACACGATTTTTCAAGTCTTTCAAATTTTGAGGATTATTTTTTTTTTGAGGATTATTAATGTAGTATGGCTTGTCTTCTTTAATGCCAAAGAAAGTAAGATTTCGTATTTTCTATATGTTGTCTAGTGCAACTTGAAAAATAATTCAGTAGATTAAGGTTGTGGCACATATTTAAACTGTAAAACAATTATTTTGAATAAAAACTTGAATATTCAGCCTGTTTTATTACTTTTATTTTCTTGAGGGTCAGGAATAAACAAGTGCCTATTAGCAGGTATCTCTGAGTCTGCAACAAGGACATAATAAAGCCTGAACAAGTGAATAAGTATTAAATGCTTTATCTTACGATGTCCGTGTACTTGTGTTGTGATCCTAATTCTGATGTAAGACTAAATTCATGATTCAGATGGAACCTTTGAAGGTTTAATCAGCATAAGTTGTATATTACCCATTGTTTCCTCTAAGTATAAAAGAACTCTATTCTGTGCCCACTACTGTTAACTCTTTAGTTCTTTTCTAGTTCTGGGTTATCCATAGGATCTGCATCTTTGCTGTTGCCACTGTTTTTTAGGCATATTCAAAACATGAGTGAGATCAAGACTGATGTTGGAAGAGCTCGGGCATGGATAAGATTGTCTCTAGAAAAGAAGCTCTTGTCCCAGCATCTCAAACAGTTGCTCTCTAACCAACCACTCACCAAGTAAGATATTGCTTTTTGATATGTTTCTGTCTCTATGACCTATGTGCTTGCAAAACCAAATTGCAGAAGCTGACAAACTGGCTTCTTCACCACAAAGTGCTGACTCCTGTGCACATGCATTGTTTTCTAACAGGCATGTGCTTCAGAAACTCTGTCTTGACATAATGCGTGCTCATTTTCTGGGAGGGCACACCAAATTTCACAGCCAAAGGCCAGATTGCTCTGCTATACTCAGAAAAAAAAAAAAAAATAGTCCACACAAGCTGACAGTAACATCCAAAAGATAAGTTGAACTTACATAAACCTTATCTCATATTGTAAAAATCACAACAAAACCTAGAGTAGTGTAGGAAAAAAGAGGTGGGATGGGAGTGTCCACAGTAAAGTGCTGCTTCTGAGAGGCTTGCGAATATTTGCATCCACTAGTTTAGAGCCAGGAAACCAATCAAGTGCGTGTCAGTTAATTGTTAACTTTTTCGGTAGTTTCCCATTACTCTATCAAGAAATCCTTTTGGATGAAATACGTTGCCCTTGTATGTACATTAATGCTAATTTGAAGGCTAAGGACTTTGAGTTCTCAGGAGCAAAGGTATGCAGAGAATTCAACAAAGACCTCAAGCATGACAGTTTATTAGAATCCCCTCATGGTAACTCATTGCTTCTTGTAGTTTTTCATTTGTACATAATCACCTTTAGATTATTTAACCCTCGAGCATTTCAGGATGTGTCTTACTGTCCAAAGAGTAGGTTTGATAAGGAATGCAGTATGAAAAATAGCCTGTGAACCTGACTTCGTTCTCTTAAAACTGACTTTTTTCACCCCAATTATAAAAGTCACTCACACCCGTTGTGACCGAAGTACAAAGAAGAAAATGATAATCATTTATAATCCTCTCTAAAGAAGAATACTAAGTATTTCGTGTTTTCTTCTATACTTTCTTCTATGCATGTTCTCTTAGTTAAGATTATATTTGTAATTCAGTACCCTTTTTTATAGCTGAACAGTGTATCAAACATTTCACTATATTGTAAGAGTTTAAACTCTGAAGTCTCAAGGCCTGTCTTCAGATATTGCCTCTACTATTAATATTTACCATTTGGACAAGGTAATTCTCTATATTTCTATTTTCCCCATCTATAAAATGATGATGTTAATAGACTTACCTCATAGAGTGGACATGAGAATTAAATATATTAATACCTACAAAACACTTGGAAAAGTGCTTAAATGTAAGTGCTTAATAAAATCTTTGCTCCCATTTCATATTGCATCTTTAGAACCGAGTCCTGAAAGTTAAACTAATGAGTCAAGGGATATGACTGGTTTAAAATTGGTACCCAGGCTGGGTGCTAGCCTATAATCACAGCGCTTTGGGAGGCGAGACAGGAGGATCACTTGAGGCCAGGAGTTTGAGACCAGCCTAAGCAACACAGTAAGACCCTGTCTCTACAAAAAAATAAAAATAAATTATCTGGGCATGGTGGTGCACACCTGTAGTCCCAGCTACTTGAGAGGCTGAGGCAGGAGGATCGCTTGAGCCCAGGGAGCTATAAATTATTCCACTGCACTGCAACCTGGGCAACATGAGTGAGACCCTCTCTCTTAAAAAAAAAAAAAAAAATTGTTACCAATAATGTTTTCCTGAACTTTTCAGTCTCATCGGTTGTGAGAATGGCTATTCATTGCCTCCTTGTCAACATTGGTTATCACTTTAGTTTGATAGATAAAATGGATTCATAGGGACAGAGTTTCTCTAACTACTATAATAGTTAGGTTAAAAATGTTTTTGAAGCCGGGCAAGGTGACTCACACCTGTAATCCTAGCACTCTGGGAAGCCGAGGCAGGAGGATCACTTGAGCTCAGGAATTTGAGACCGGCCTGAGCAAGAGTGAGACCCCATCTCTACAAAAAATAAAAAAATTAGCTGGGCATGGTGGCATGTGGATGTAATCCTAGTCCCACCTACTTTGGAGGCTGAGGCAGGAGGATCACTTGAGCCCAGGAGTTTGAGGTTTCAGTGAGCTATAATGACGCTACTGCACTCTAGCTGGGGTGACAGAGTGAGACTCTGTCTGGGAAAAAAAAAAAGTTTTTGAATTGTCTGTGTTTTCAAGATTAAATTTTCTAATCATTGTTTCTCTAAAAGAAAGTGTTTATTTTTAAACAAGACATGATGAAAAAAAATTTTAAATACAAAAAAAAATAAGACGTAACGAAAAATATACTACTGTCTTGTGTTTGTTTTTCCCTTGCTAGGAAGCTTTATAAGCGTTATGCTTTTCTACGTTGTGAAGAAGAAAGAGAGCAATTTCTTTACCATCTTCTTTCCCTCAATGCTGTGGACTATTTCTGCTTTACCAGTGTGTTCACCACTATCAGTAAGTCTGGAGAATTGACTATTAAGTGAAGAGTCACTGAGGTGACTAATAGAATAAAAGCATTTGTATTTTTAAAAGTGAGATATACCATAGTACAGGTAGACACTGTGAGGCACCCCCAGATCTCCATTTAGGAATGAAGGATATTCCCCAGCTGCTGGGAGTGCTGCCAGAAGCCCTCGATTGTCAGTCTGTGGGGAGAACCTGACTAAAGAAAACTACCTTACCGGAGGTGATCCCGTGTGCCAGGGCCAGCCAGCATCCCGTGACTGAACAAAGGGCTGTTCCAGGGCTCCCCAGAGGGTCAGCTGAGGACTTCATTGAGACTGCATCGCAGCTCAACATTTCCCCCAACCAATCCTGCTTTCATTCTCACATGTTGATCCTAGGAGCAGTATTGTGCATGCTGATTTCTGACTCAGAGTCTGTTTGCCAAGAAACCCAGTCTGTAATAGAAAATGTTACCTATCATACATGTTAAAAGGAATATTTTATTAAATAAATGTTCTAATATCTTAACTGAAAGACATAAATTCAAAGAATCAGTGCATGATAATAATGAACTTACATAAGTGGACATGATTGAACTTTGGGAAGAAATGCTGATTGGAGAAGTATTTTTGATAGAAAGCTGAATTATAGCATTTATTTTATCTACCATTACTAATTCTTATTTGTAGTGGGTCCCCTTCCCTACTGTGGAGAATTTTACTTACATCAGTTAGGAATTGTGTTCAGCTACAAGTATCAGAAACTTGAAAACCAGTAGTTTAAACAGCTTAGTAATTTCATTTTTCTTACAGAGTAAGAAGTCTCAAGGTCGGCAGTCTGCAGTGCTGTCACAGACCCAGGCTCGTCCCTTTCCTCCTGGGCATCCTTGTGTGTGCCGATCACCTCATGGTCTCAAGGTGGCTGTTCTCAAGCCATCTTCCAGCAGGAAGGAGGAAGGAATGCCAAGGAGGAAGGGGCAAAATCTGTGCTAGAAAAACATAATTTTTCAAAATATCCCAATAAACATCATTAACATTTCACTGGCCAGGATTGTGTAGGTTTTGGCTTTCCAGTCTCTGGTAGAAGTAGACAAAGAAAAAGGGAGTTGGAATGGGTATTGGGCCAACTTCCAGTATCTGTCAAGCTACTAATAATTTATTAGGTTACTGCAGGCATAAAAATCTAAGATGTTATATATAGTTTTAAGAGAGAAGAAATAACAGCAGAGGTTGCTAGGATTCCTAAGACCCTCCTTATATTTGTAGATTTCTCATCATCTGAGTAACTGTTTCAATTTGAGGAATTCTTCATGAAAAGTTTTTTTGAATTTAATAATATTGCTTTTTTTATGCTCAAACTATGAAATCACTGTTGTGCATCTGTGGGCCCTTTGCAGCCACAGAACTGCTAACCCTAAACAGGCCCTTTTCTGCAGCTCTTCTAATCTTATCAATGCAAGAAATGAGAGAAGTCTCTGGCACCTAAAATAAAGTCTTAATGCTAACCTCTTCTGCTTTTAGTTTCAAAAACCATTTGATTCTGATGATTACTAAACCATGAAAGTATGGCCTTTCCTCTAACATTTTCCTTTCCTTCAGCCAAAATAAAAGGATAGAAAGGGAGGTTATTCACCTAACATAAAGAAAGTCATTTATGCAAAATTAGAGAAACCATTTATCCCATTCGTTTTTCTCCTCGAAGGGCACACTGAACCATGAGCTCATATGGCGAGGCTCTATCTGGGCACCTTGTCCAGTAAATGTTTTTCATCTTATGTGTAGATCTTTCAAGGAGGGCTTCTGACACCCCCTCTTGTGACTGAATGAGCAGAAATCCCAAGGATACCAACAAAAAATATTGATTCTACTCTACTGAAAAAAAAAGTATTGATTCTACCCTACTGTACCTTGTCCAGTAGGATTTCTTATTATATAAGAAAAATGGAAATTACTAAGCTGTTTAAACTACTGGTTTTCAAGTTTCTGATACTTGCAGCTGAACACAGGTCCTAACTGATATAAGTGAATGTTTTTCATCTTACATGTAAATCTTTCAAGGAGGGCTGCTAACATTCCCTCTTGTGACCAGATGAGCAGAAATCCCGTGGATACCAACAAAAAATATTGATTTCTACTCTATTTTTTTAAAAAAATAAAGTATAGCTCTGATGGACACAATGTACTAATGTATTTAAACTAGCTGCATTTTTTAAAAGAGAAGGGAGAACATAATGTATTATAACTTTCTTGCGCAAAGGACAGTGATAGGACAGTGACACCTAGTGGTTTGCCTTTGGAAAGGCCTCAAGAAGGAAAAGGTTTCACACAGATCTCTGCACATCTTGACTCTTTCCCTGGGGCCCTCTTAATAGCTTTCCAAGTTGTGGTTTGTAGACTTGATGGTATGTCCAGAAATTGTTTGTTATTCTTGGCATTGCATACTGTGCTGTAAACCTGAGATGGGAAAGCTGGGAAGTGCAGCACGTTAAAGCAATGGCCCCAACCTTTTTAGCACTGGGGACCGGTTTCATGGAAGACAGTTTTTCCACCATGAGGGAGGTGAGGAGGTGGAGTTCAGGCGGTGATGCAAGCGATGGGGTGGCTGTAAATACAGATGGAGTTTCCTAAGTTTCATGGAAGACAGCTTTTCTACAGGTGGGGTAAGGGAGCTCTGCAGCCTGGTCCCTGGGGCTCAGGGACTGCAGCTTTAAAGCATTGCCCAAGAAAATCAGCAACGACAGGATACTGTCCAAGAAGTCATCCTCCCCTCTTTTCATATGAAACCACATCAGTATCGGTAACCATGTTCATTTGTACTTGATGTTGGTACAAAATTAAATTTTTAAAAAATTAAGAAGTGAAAACACTGTATAGTATAGTCTATGTTCATCTCCTCAGGTATTCTGGTGCTAATGCTTGAGATTGTTTATAAATTTAATGGTGATATGTATGTCCTATGTACAGGATGATATATATACTATGGAAACTACCACCACACATATTAGGACTTGTGGTTTATGAACCAGACCTATCTTTCTAGACAGGAAGAGGTTATAATCTTATCTTCTGTGTTAGTACATCTTAATAGATCATAAAAAGTAAATTATCAGTGACAACCAACAGTGTTCTTAATATATGTATTGTTATCAAGAGAATTTTATTGTAATTTTTCACTAATTTCTGTATTTTTCTTTTAGTGATTCCATATAGATCAGTGATTATCCCAATCAAAAAACTGAGCAATGCAATCATCACATCAAACCCTTGGATCTGTGTATCAGGAGAGCTAGGAGACACGGGAGTAATGCAGATTCCCAAAAACCTTCTCGAAATGACTTTTGAGGTAGGCTCAGCTAATACTTTCCTCACCAGAAAGTGTCATATGTAGTTTTACAGAAGGATTCCAGTTTTTATTTTTCATTTTTCCTTGAATCAAATAAAATAACACTCAAGCATACAGGATCATTTTTGTGATTATATGCCTGAAGTTGTCTTAAGCAGCGTATACTAATTTGTTTTGTATTTTCAGTATTGCTGTTTTCATTGTTAAGCTCTATTTTTCACTTGTAATGGTGTGCTTTGAGGCTTTACCCAATCCTATCCCATGATTCCCAGAACCTAGCATAGAGCCTGCTAAGCAGAGAACGTTGAAATAAATGTTTTCCCCACTGTGGTTCTCCTCCCTACTATAAAATGTTCCCTGCCAGAACCTGGCCATCCTTTGGCAAAAGTAAAAGAGAGCTGATATCCATGCTTATGGATTTTAGACCACATGGTGACATTTATAGGGTGATTCTATAAAAATGCCTCTCAATATTATAGTCAGTTTTCAGGTCTTACCTGGAGAAGTAGTTCCATGTGTTTGAACTCACATGCAGGTCGATCCTCGCATGCAGGAGGAAGAAGACAATACCTCCTCGTGTTTCAGGAGGGAAGTAGTACTAACTGAATGTTCCATTCTCATATTCCTTGGATCTAGGAATAGCAGTTTCTGCTTAGAGTCATAATGCCCCCCAAGAGCCCGTTTTGACTTTATCCATGCAGTGGACTCACAGCCTTCTGTATATAAAAGATTAAAACCCTTGGCTTTTCTTCCCCTGTGAATTATGGAACGTAAACTACATTATACTGGCCAGATATGGTGGCTCATGCTTGTAATCCTAGCACTCTGGGAGGCCGAGGGTTGAGCTCAGGAGTTCAAGACCAACCTGAGCAAGAGCGAGACCCTGTCTCTACTAAAAATAGAAAAAATTAGCTGGGCATGGTGGTATGTGCCTGTAGTCCCTGCTACTCGGGAGGCTGAGGCAGGAGGATCGCTTGAGCCCAGGAGTTTGAGGTTGCAGTGAAGCTAGGCTGATGCCACGGCACTTTGGCCCGGGCAATAGAGTGAGACTCTGTCTCAGAAGAAAACAAAACAAAACTATAAGTCCCATCACTGCTTTTTCCAAGCTTTTTCTCTCACATTTGCCTACTTCTTTCCATTTCTGCTGCACAACTAATTCAAGACTCCATCCCTCAGCTGGATCACTGTGATGCTTTCTCACTGAGATACAAAGAAGTAAAGTACTTTAAGAACTCACAGCTCTGATGTTCCCATCTGGCACATAGTTAGTTGGGGTCTGTGATCTTTTCATTATCAGATTTTAAAAGCCAGAATTTAATTAACATTCATTTTTACTATTCTTATTATCATTGCTTTATTTTGTACTTGTCCACAAAGGGCCAGTTAAGGACGTTGATAGCTATGCCTTTATTACAATAGTTTCAAAAACTACTAGTAGATAAGGTTTAAAGTCAGTTCTGCCTTAATATTTTATTAGAAATGGAAAAATATCAGTGTGTGATTTTTTAAATTGATAGTTATTTTCCTGACCTCTCTGTATCTGAATCTAAATAGCATCCTTTTCCCACTTCTTGAAATTCTTCTCATCCTTCAAGGCACAAATCACAGTTTCACTGATGTTTCTGGGTTTCCCAAGTAGAAGTAACTGTTCCTTCACCAGCATTCTTCTAGTACTTACTTACATTTCCAGTCTAGCACCTGTGCAGTCCACCTCATTGGTACTTAATGTCCATATGTCTCCTGTCTCATTATTTGGGATCCCCCTGAGAGCAAGCAATACATGTAAATATGTTTTTCTAGTACATAGCTGAGTACATTTTGCAGGGTGGGTCTCTGCAATTGTTAAATGAGATGGAACCAAAGTGCCCCTACTAAAGCTGAGAGGTAGCAGGATGGGATCGGTTACTGAATAACCTAAGGTCCTGTCCCTACAGTGCCAGAACTTGGGAAAGCTGACCACTGTTCAGATTGGTCACGATAACTCAGGACTGTTAGCCAAATGGCTAGTGGATTGTGTCATGGTCAGAAATGAAATCACAGGACATACATACAGGTAAGTAAATGGCCTTGGGAGCTCAGAATTCTTTGCTTTGAGACTTTTTGGATAAGAAAAGGTTTAAGAGTCCGGGCACAGTGGCTCACACCTATAATCCCAGCACTTTGGGAAGCTGAGGTAGGATGATCACTTCAGGCCAGGAGTTCAAGACCAGCCTGGCAGTGTAGTGAGACCTCGTCTCTCCAAAAAAAGAAAATAAGAAAAATTATCAAGGCTGAGGATCCCTTGAGCTAAGGAGTCCAAGGATGCAGTGAGCTCTGATCACACCAACTTAGGTGACAGAGCAAGACCCTGTCTCTTTAAAAAAAAAAATTAAAAAAAAAGATTTAAGAAGTTATTTTCTTTCTAAAGCTCTTCTACTGCCTTCTGAATTTTAGTTTGGTTTTTTGGGTTTATTTTGTTTTGTTTTTGTTTAAATAATACAAAATTGTCCCAAAAAATACTTTTTAAAAAAAACAGATGGCATTTGCTGCTAATGCTTAGTTGGTAAGTGTTGAAAAGATTGGTATAACTCTCAGAAGAAAAGAGAAAGGAAGCCTAAAATAATTTCAGTAAGATGGAAAGATCTCTTAGACTCTACTAGTTACAGCCAGCACTACTCTATGGGAACATTCTCCTCTTTTCTTCTGTGGTTTAACTCCTACATTAACATCTAGTTTGAAAATATTCTTTCTAAACTAACCATAATTTTAATACAGATTAGGTATAAGAAAATATTAAAGGCTGGGCGCGGTGGCTCACGCCTGTAATCCTAGCCCTCAGGGAGGCCGAGGCAGGTGGATCGTTTGAGCTCAGGAGTTCGAGACCAGCCTGAGCAAGAGCGAGACCCCGTCTCTACCAAAAAAAAAAAAAAAAAATAGAAAGAAATTAATTGGACAGCTAAAAATATATGGAAAAAAAATGGTGGCGCATGGTGGTGATGGTGGCGCATGCCTGTAGTCCCAGCTCCTCGGGAGGCTGAGGCAGGAGGATCGCTTGAGCTCAGGAGTTTGAGGTTGCTGTTAGCTAGGCTGACACCACGGCACTCTAGCCCGGGCAACGGAGCGAGACACTGTCTCAAAAAAAAAAAAAGAAAGAAAATCTTAAAGAATTATGAAGGGAGTAATAACGATTTGTGGCTATGTAGGAGAATGTCCTTGTATTTTAGAGATTCGTAATGAAGTGTTTTTAGAGATGAAGTATCCTAATGTCATAATTTAAAATACTTCAACAAAAAATAAAAATGAAGCACATGACAAAATGTTGAGTGTCTAGGTGATAAGAAAGAATATAGGGGCCGGGCGTGGTCGCTCACGCCTGTAATCCTAGCACTCTGGGAGGCTGAGGCGGGCAGATTGTTTGAGCTCAGGAGTTCGAGACCAGCCTGAGCAAGAGCGAGACTCCGTCTCTACTAAAAATAGAAAGAAATTAATTGGACAACTAAAAATATATAGAAAAAATTAGCCGGGCATGTGGCGCATGCCTGTAGTCCCAGCTACTCGGGAGGCTGAGGCAGGAGGATCGCTTGAGCCCAGGAGTTTGAGGTTGCTGTGAGCTAGGCTGAAGCCACGGCACTCTAGCCTGGGCAAAAGAGTGAGACTCTGTCTCAAAAAAAAAAAAGAAAGAATATAGGCATCTAAATACTGTTCTCTACTTTTCTGTATTTTGAAATTTTTCATAAATAACTCACAGGCATTAAAGTGATGGGCTTCCCCATGGTGCCATCTTTAAAAGTCTGATTTAAACTAGTAAAAACAAATTGGTGATTCAGAAGTTTTTTTCTGTCCTACCAGATTCCCATGTGGGAGATGGCTGGGGAAAGGCATTGATGACGGTAGCCTGGAGAGAATTCTGATTGGAGAACTGATGACGACAGCATCGGATGAGGACCTGGTAAAGCAGTGTAGGACTCCACCGCAGCAGAAATCACCCACTGTGGCCAGGAGATTGAGCATCACATCACTGACAGGAAAAACGACTAGTAAGTAGTTGATTTTTGTATTTTCCAGTGTGCCTGCAGGCTTCATGTGACCATTTCACAGAAAACAGTTGCATTAATGAGTTGTGGTAAGGAGATTTAAAAAAGAAGAAGGTTGAAGAAAATTAATTTGGGAGAATGGACTTTAAAAAGCGGGAGGAAAAAAACAAAAAAGGAAGAGGGAGGGAGTAAAGGGGAAAAAATAAAGGTAAGACATTAACAACCAAAAGCCTAAAGAGTTTAGATGTTAAAATCTAATTTAAAAAAAAATCCTGCATGCTGTTTTAAGTAAGCTGTGGCAGTATGAATAAATATTTTACCTGAAACTGAAAGGAGAAATAAAACAGTTATATATTAGAATACTCCTAGCCAGCTGTATCTGGCTTTCTGGTGCCTCTCATTCTAAGAGATTAAAAATTCCTTCTATCTCTTCCCCTCCAATTTTTTTCCTATAGGAATGATGAAATAAAATACTATAAACGAGTGAGTTTTATGGATAGGATACTATGTTTGCGTGCCATCTTTAGTAGTACAATAAACTTCTAATTTATACTAACATGGACTTTAGTAGACTGAATAATGTCTCCCAAGAATATAAAATCCTAATCCCTAGGATCTGTAAATGTTGCTTTATTTGAAAAAAGGATCTTTGTAGTTATGTTAAGGATCTCCAGATACGGAGAGTATCCTGGATTATCCAGGTGGGCCCTAAGTGCAGTCACATGTATTCTTATAAGAGGGAGGCAGAGGAAAGTTAGACTCATAGACAGAGGTAAAGGCAATGTAAAGACAGAAGCAGAAATTGGAATGATACATCCTCAAACCAAGGAATGCCAGTAGCCACCAGAAGCTGAAAGAGGCAAGGAAGGGGTTCTTCCCTAGAGCCTCCAGGAGTGCAGCGCCGCTGACACCTTGATTTCTGCCCAGTGATATTGAATTCTGGCTTCTGGCCTCCAGAACTGCGGGAGAATAAATTTCATTTGTTTTGGTCGGGTGTGGTGGCTCATGCCTGTAATCCTAGCACCCTGGGATCATGTGCTATAACAAATGGACGTGATGGTATACTAACTACTGGGATGATACAGTCTAAAAAGCTGCCTTATTATTGCTCAAATTATTCCTTTGATTCATAATTCCTTTCTGCATTCAGAAGTAAACTTAACACCACACACCCACTAGAATGTCTAAAATTAAAAAGACTGATAATACCAATTGTTGGTAAGGACGTGGTGCGGTAGAAAGCTCATACATTGCTAGTGGAAATGCAAAATGAAAAACAAGTTTGTCATTTATAAAGATGTATGTATACTTACCATACCGTTGGCCCGACAATCTCACTTTCCTAGATATTTACCCAAGAGAAGTGAATACATATATCTACACAAAGACTCCTACACTAGGTGTTCATAGCAGTTTTATTCATAATAGCCAAAAATGGAAACAACTGCAATATCCATCAACTGGTGACTGGATAAACAGATTGTGGTACATCTTATTCAATGGAATATGATTCAGCAATACATGAAAATGAACTAGTGTTACATCTAACAACATGAATGAATAACAAAAGCATTATGTTAAGTGAAAGAAACCAGAAACAAAAGACTGCATATTATATGATTCTATTTATATTAAATTCTAGAGAAGGCAATATAAAAATAATAGAAGATCAGTGGTTGCCAGGAGATGGGAGCTGGGGAAGGGATTGACTAAAATGGGGCATAGGGGAACTTTGGGGGATGATGGAAATTTTCTGTATCATGATTGTGGTAGTGATTACATGATTATACATTTGTCACAGCTCATCAAATTGCATACTTAAAATTGGTGACTTTTATTATAGGGTGAATTTTAATTCTGATTTAAAATTCAAAAGTAGATTTCAGCTAATTCATCTAAATTATTACAACTGAATCAGTCCAGTTTCATAGGGTATTACTGTTTTGAGAGGCCTTTATAGCCTACATTTTTGGTCATATTTTCTTTTCTCAATGAATAAGCAGAATATTGATTGATTGATTGATTGATTTTTGAGACAGTCTCACCCTGTCACCTGGGCTAGAGTGCCATGGCATCAGCCTAGCTCACAGCAACCTCAAACT